TATATATTAAAAGAACATATATTAAAATAATTAAGTTAAATAATACATTAAAATTAAAATATTGAATGTAATTAAATATAATAATAAATAACTCACAATTCATTGATAGATGAATTACAAACATCCTATAATACATCAAACCACATATATATGCCACATAACCATATATATGTAATAGAGCATCACAAGTTGCAAATATCTCACAATCTACTTAACAATTTTATAGGATTGCTAAGTCTGCAGGGCATACAATATCATATACCAAATGCTAGCATATGACACCAAAAGACCCCAGAGAAGGGCATATTATCTTGAGCTAATATAAATAAAACTGCATGGTGTAAATTAAATTAATATAAAATATAAATTATAAAATATATAAAATATTAAATACAAATATATAGATATATAAGAAAAAACTATGTTCATGTCCATATATCTAAAAATATTCAACCAAAATAGTCAGTCATAATAAATGAATTACCTAAGTGTTGACATAAATCAACAAAGTCAACTATTGTCATTGGTTTCCATTTACGCGTTTCATCCGGTAACCAACCGGACTCATCAGAATGGACTATTAAAATTAATCATTACCATCAGTATGTAATGTTATAAATATCCGTCAATATATATTATAGTATTGTAGATTCTATAACTTATTTTATGATATGATAAATAGGTATAATAAATAAAAGAATGGGTATATAATAAATTAATAAGCACCTGGCGTTGATGGTATCCCAAATGGCGCGCTTAAACAAATCGTATATAGAAGGCCAGAACTGTTTGCGGAAGTATTCTCATTGTGTCTAGTAGAAGGTGTGTTTCCAAAACCGTGGAAAGTGCAACGACTAGTCCTAAACTAATATATATATATATAAAGCTCATCAATTATATACTGAAGATCCTTATATAATATGAGTAATATCCCAAATGTATCCCAAATGGCGCGCTTAAACAAATCGTATATAGAAGGCCAGAACTGTTTGCGGAAGTATTCTCATTGTGTCTAGTAGAAGGTGTGTTTCCAAAACCGTGGAAAGTGCAACGACTAGTCCTAAACTAATATATATATATATAAAGCTCATCAATTATATACTGAAGATCCTTATATAATATGAGTAATATGAATAAATTTCAAATTAAATGAAGGATAAGAATACCTTAAAAAACATGGGGGTGCACACGATACATTCCTTCAAAAATCAAAATACGGTATTCTTCAATATCCAAATCATTGTAGATTAAGTACATGAACTATTTAAATTTACTTTTAAACCATTTAAATTTATTTTTAAAGTCATTTAAAAAAAAAAACTGATATATAATACATAGTAAATTATGATACCTTCTTTGCAATACCAGATATTCATTAGTTATTTTAAATATTTTATACATATTAACATGTACATACACACATAATCTCATGCAGGCCTTGTATTTGAGTGGCCATACTACAAAATTAGCTACAGTTCATGTATTAATACGAACATAGGGGGATTTACATTTTTACCTGAGTATTGAAGTAAATATGAACCTTAATAATCTCATGCAAACCTCATAATGAAATTTAAAGGAAATTTAAAGGACAAAAACAAAAACGAAACAAACCAAATAATACAAATTTTATGATGCAAGGTTAGTTTTTATTGTTTGGTATTAACCCAAAAAAATTATTGCATCAAGCGATCTAATTATCTTAATATATACCTACTATTATTATATATACATATATACATCTACTTAACTTTAATCATAATAGCCAAGTAAATTTTAAACTGAAAAGTCATAATCATTCTTTCTTACAAAAAACTAGAATATTGTATAGACATCATTATTTTTTTAAGACTAAAGGATTCTTAAATATTATCAACTCAATACCTTAAGGAATCAATATAAAAAAATTAATACAGAATTAATAATGGAGCGTTCTCAGATCAACAAATTATCAACTCAGATAACAGAGAAAATTATCGTTTCTGAATCCGATGCAAATGATAAAAACACCGCCAATAGAATTCCCATTCCAAAAACTAAGGGATTAAAACGTTCTTACATTATTAACAAAGAAAATAATTTGCAAAATCCTTTATCATCAATACCTACCGAACAACCTCATTCAACATCCTCTATGTATAGAACAGATGCTATTCACCAAGGTTTATATAATGGTAAATTACCGGAGAGCGAGTCAAACACAATGCTTTATCCATCCGCTGTTCCAGGTGGCTTTATCAACATGAGTGGAAAAGATTTGCCTATAGAAGTGGAAATCTTACTAAGCTTTGGTCCAAAGTATGCTCCTACACAACCTCCTAATATATTTGATTATTTAATTGCGTTAAAGAAATATTCCGACGGGTATTTGGAAAAATATATAGACTATAGGAATGTACTGCCGTTTAGAATTAGAAAAACATTACAAACATTTTTTGGAAATTATGGTAAAGCATCAAGAACAAACCCCCCATCATCGCATGTTAACTCAGCTTTATCAACGGACACATACTTATTTGCAAAAACATCAAGATTTAATCATGGTGCAAGCAGATAAAAGTCAGACAACAATATTAATTGCACGAAGTGAATATATATATAAGGTAAAGAAATGGATTGATAATTATATACAATCCGGATCATGTGTTGAATATACAGGTAATAGAGGCATCTTAGTACGACGTTTATAGGCTTTATATAGGGAAATTGTAAGGCCATTATGTAGCCAGTATGTAAATAGAAAAATACAATTTCCTCATGATATTTATGCAGAGTTAAAGGATAAATTAAATAAAACTCCAGAAATGCCCTATCTATATGGAACATTGAAAATACATAAGCCAGAATGTCCAGTTAGGCCTATATGTAGTCCCATAGGCTGGTTCATTAATCCAATACATAAACTATGTACATACATCTTAACAATTACATTAGGAAAACGCCTATCCAATCATAATTTGAAGGACATGAATATTTTAACCAGCCATATACAAGAACTGCAACATAAGGTGGATTATGTACTGGTAACCATAGATGTAAAGGAAATGTATTCAAAAACAAGGATCGCACTCTTAATGCAAACATTACAAGATCTGATGAAACTAGAATGGTTTCGTAACGAATGTCCCTTAGATCTAGGTATATTGGAAAATTACTAGATTATATATTATTACAAGGTAATTACTTCAGTTTCAACACATTATGGTATCAGCAAATAGAGGACTTACCTCAGGGTGG